GATTTGTTGTAAAATATTATTTTTTTTATTCACTCTTTGTGTGGTTTTCATGAAATTCATATACAATGAAGAACAAACTACACTATAGTAAAATACAAACCTCTTTTCTTTCTAACTCCACTATTGATTCCATTTCTCTTATCCTGGCTAGTAATGTGTTATGAGATTCTTCTAAACTGTGTCGCAGACTTTTTTCGCGTTCAAGTTCTTCACGAATTTCATTAATACGCTTCTGAAACTTAGATTTCTGAGCTGATAATTCATCTGTTGCTGCAGTAATGGTTTCCTGTTAGGAGGGAAAAAATTCAAACATATATTCATCTATCAAAAGACACTATCTTTTATGATCCAAGAAAGTAATGGATGTCTTGGTATGAATCTCAGGATATGTCAAGTGACAAGCAATATTTATCAAACTATTTAGAAAACGGTACAGATCCACATATTTTATAAATTCAAACAACATACTAGAAGACCTCGTATTAATATTAACTATTACATTGCATGAGAAATCCATGTATTAACATGATAAAGATAAAATTAGTGTGCAACAAAATCATTTAGGAATCACACTGTCATGATTTTAACCACAAATCTTTTCTTTTATCTACAATAAAGTATACCCGGTATAAAGGTATCTTTTTTTTCATCTTTAATCCTGCATAGTGCATTTTTGAGGAAACAATTCAATACAAGAGGCCCAAGGGCCTTAACGGTCACCTGAGTACAATACAACAATTTAGAGGATCCATAGAGTATTAAAATGAAATGAAAGGTGAAGCTTTGTTGCCCAAAAGCAAGAAAAATAGGGTGATCAGGATCAACAAAATAATTAGTCTACTATTCATTAACAGTTCATAAATTAGGTTCTAATCTGTTCCCCATTTATCACTATCACCATACAGCATATTAACAAAATATCAGTGCTTTTGTACTGTTTTAATTCCTTGTTGTAATCTCTTACATTGGCCTCTCTTGGTCTTTGATGAACATTTAAGTTATTTTTGTCTCATTTTTATTTATCTATTACTTACAAGTCCACATGATCATTAAAACTAAGAAAATACTTTTTGTATTATACAATAAAAATTCTTGCATAATTCTCTTATTCTATTAATTTTTCAAGTACATTATTTACAGTGATTAATTATCAAAAGTAAACGGCAAAGGGGAATAACTCCTCTCAGTAGAATGCAAATTAATTGAGCCCTGGCTAGGACCAGAACACCTGACCAAATGGTCCAGATGTTCAAAAATCTGGTAAAAATACCCTTCCTTATTACAACTTTTACACTTTTTGCCTCTGATATGCCCAAGTGCAGAGAAGATTTTTAAAGAAATAATGCATTTTCACTACAGATTCACTATATTATCAATAGAGCCCCTCCCCCCCCCCCCCCTTCACCACCGAGAAACACCAGAGCCTCTCACCCTGGGACCAGAAGTTTCAAGTTTACTCATCTTAAGTAATCACTTTGTTTAACTGCTTAACATTAAGGAGCAGACAGGATTATTTAATAGAATTAATGCATTTTCACTACATTATCAACAGCCCCACCCTTATACCAGCACATCTGACCCAGGGGTCATGCAATTCATTACTCTGGAAGAAGCACTCTTGCTCATCATAACTATATACTTAGCTTCTTTGCTTTTTAACCAGAAGCAGAAAAGAATATTTTCAAAGAAATTTTGATTTTTCACTATATAATCAATAGAGCCCCCCCCCCCCCCCTTTTGACCAGAACCCTTGACCCTGGGACCATGACATTCACAATTTTAGAAGATCCATCCTTGCGTATCATAACAATGTACTTAGTTTGTTTAAATAGTACCCAGGGGCAGAGAAGAAGATTTTCAAAGAAATAATTCACCTTCACTGTAGGAGCTATATAGCCCCACCCTAGCACCAGAACCCCTGTCCCTGGGGCCATGAATTTCACAATTTTGGAAGAGGTGTCCTTGTTTATCATAACAATGTACTTAGTTTGTTTAAATAATACCCAGAAGCAGAGAAGATGATTTTTAAAACATTAATGCATTTTCACTATATAATAAATAGAGCCCCGCCCTATTATCAGAACCCCTGACCCAGGGGCCATGAAATTCACAATTTTGGTAGAGTCACTCTTGCTTATCATAACTATGTATTTAATTTGTTTAAATAATACCCAGGAGTAGAGAAGAAGATTTTCAAAGAAATAATGCACTTTCACTATATGATCTATATAGCCCCCCCCTCCAGCACCAGAACCCCTTACCCTGGGGCTATGAATTTCACAATTTTGGTAGAGTCACTCTTGCTTATCATAACTATGTATTTGATTTGTTTCAATAATACCAAGGAGTAGAGAAGAAGATTTCTAAAGAAATAATGCACTTTCACTATATGATCTATATACCCCCCCCCCCCCCAGCACCAGAACCCCTGACCCTGGGACCATGAATTTCACAATTTTGGTAGAGTCACCCTTGCTGATCATAACTCTGTATCTAATTTGTTTCAATAATACCCAGGAGTAGAGAAGAAGATTTTCAAAGAAATAATGCACTTTCACTATATGATCTATATAGCCCCGCCCTAGCACCAGAACCCCTGACCCTGGGGCCATGAATTTCACAATTTTGGTAGAGTCACCCTTGCTTATCATAACTATGTATTCAATTTGTTTCAATAATACCCAGGAGTAGAGAAGAAGATTTTCAAAGAAATAATGCACTTTCACTATATGATCTATATAGCCCCGCCCTAGCACCAGAACCCCTGACCCTGGGGCCATGAATTTCACAATTTTGGTAGAGGGCTCAATGCTTATTACAATCATGTCAACAGTTTTACTGCTTGTTGCCCAGGAGTAAAGAAGAAGATTTTTAAAAATTGCATTAATTTTGATGGTTTTAGCCCCACCCCTCAGGCCCCAGGGGGGCAGGGACCATGAAAATCACAAATTTTGTTCCCCTTCACACATAGATGCCATATGCAAAAATTGGCTGAAATTGGTTCATCGGTTTCAGAGAAAAAGCTGAAAATGTTCAAATGTTAACACACGACGCACGACGGACGACGCACGACGACGGACGAAAACAGATAGCAATAGGTCACCTGAATGACTCAGGTGACCTAAAAAGTGGAAAAGTATGCATGATGGGGATAAATGAAGCTTACACAACACATATGATGAGATATATTTTGCATAATATTCCCCGTACATGTGTACCAATGCTTTTGTACATGCATTTTATTCACATCGCAGAAAAAAAACAAACATAACGGTTTTGCTCCAAATAATTCACATGCATAAATATTCATATTTACAGTAATTTCTTACTTTTGAAACTGTTGCATTCTCCAACTCTGTTTTCAGTAGCCTTATTTCCTCTTTTGACTTTAGTCTCGCCTCATGCTCTGTTTTTAAGTCATCTGTCACCTGGTCAAGTTTCCGTCTTAATTTTCCAAGTTCTTGTTCATATGTCTCTTTTAGCATATCATATTTTTGTTCTTGATCATCTGAATTCTTCATTTTTAAATCCCTGTCACCATGTAAATTTATCATATTCAGTTTCAGTGTTTGAATAACACTTTCTGTTTTACACACTCTTGAAACAAGGGTTTCATAATTATCCTTCAGTATATCTACATCCACAATCTGGGCTTGGTAGGGGGAAATAACCTCTCTTTGATCTATCACATCTCTCTCTGCTGGTCGAATATTTTTGCCAAATCCCATTGTGCCTAATTTTTCAATTAAGTCCTGTGTATCTTGTTCTGCTACCTCCAAACGCTTCTCCAAAACATCCAGAGTCTGCTGTGAAGAAGGCCCCTCCATTGATAGTGACATTGGTGGAATAACAGCTCGTGACATCTCAATCCAAACACTCCACTTTGCTAATTTGCTGTCTGAACCTGTATACAGCTTTTCATTGCTGAGATGTGAGATTCAAATCAGTCCTATTTAAATATATTAAAACTGACCTGTGAATCAAAGATATTAGATTTTATCAATGCTTTTCAGCATGCTTCACACGTTTAAAGACAAGGCAATGATAAAATTCCTAATTATGCTAGACATTGACATTAGGGGCGCATTTAAATATCCATTCACCACAGTGATCCCATAATGGTTTAAAATTCTTGCAACTTATGCCTGAACAAATAAAAGCTTGGATACAAGTTATTGACAGCTTCAGTGATTTACAGATTTAAGATAGCACACAAGACAGTGATATTTTCCCTATACAATGTGACTGAACGATAGAATTAAACCTCTCTGTATGTACAGCAAACATACTGTAGGGGCTTTAATAACTTGAATTGTTGACTTTTCGGCTATATGTCGTTGTAAGATGAATGAGGTGTATAAACTTCTCAAAGAGTAGCATTGCTATTATACTCCATAAAACACACAAACTTTAATAAAAATGCAGTGAGCTACAAATAAAAATCAACAGAAGCATACTTCACTGCTTATTTAAAATACAGCAGATTTGTAGTAATGCTACATTAAACATGTCCATACTTGTACAAAATGCAAAAAATAGGAAGCCTTATTTGAAATAATAGAATATGAATATTACTTGCTTCTAGTTACTTTCTTTAAAAAACAAATATGACTCACCCAAAATTTAATACATAACTAAGTGGTGAAACTACATCGATTATAAGAGTACATTTTGTATCTACATCTCGTCATTTGTGCATTTTTGATGCAAAACTGAACAAGTTAGAAAGGAAAGATCGTTTAAAAATAATTTAAAATATCAAGTTCTTGGCTTTTGAAAAGTGTAAATACATTTAAACAGTTTCGTATGCATGTCAAACAACATTACCAGAGCCTATGAATATCCACATTCGAAAAAGAGCACTCTTTGGAGGCCATATTTGTATACAAAGAATTTCATTGGTCACAGGCACTCGTGGTCACAGGCGCAGAACTCTTCAACGTCTGTTAAGTGTTTATCATAAGAAGTGTATATAGCAAAGCGCTCTATTGATTGTGATCCTGAAGTAGAAAAGCACAGGAAACCTATAAATTTCCGGATGCACGCACCTGCTAAAGTAAGAAAATTGTTTATTTTTTGATCATCATGTGTTATAGTTTAAACAAGGATACTAATATATGGTGATGGTATATTTTTTCTCCTATTAAAGTACACTGAAAATCATTATTCTATAAAAATAAGACTTGAAAATGATCCATTGATTGGCTACTTTCACTTCCATCTCCATTTTGTTTATTTAAGAAGTGTTAATAAATAATAAACAATCTGGTTATATAATTCTGATTTATCTTGATTATTTTTAACCTTTACTTTTATTATTTCCCCCGTTATATTTTACAGGGAAACCAGACCATGTACAGTTTGTACACTTGGTATTGCGCAACTTGACGAAAAAAAGAAAATCGGTTGACATGGAAACGCTTGAAGAACTGCCATACACTTTACTGGTTGGATCCATCGTAATGGTTTTGATGATGTCATTTATTGTTACACGGGTCTTGACTGGCACATGTATGCTAACTTTACCCCTGTCCCCGCAACAGCTATAGGGGGTATACTGGAATCACTATGCAGAATCCGTCTCTCTGTTTGTCCGTCCTTCTGTTCAGGTCTGGAGGAACCAGGGACGTTAAATACTTTACATTAGAATACTTAGTGAAAATAAGGATTTAGCCCCACAAAAATAATGTCTGGTGATCTTTTTGCTCCCTTTTTGCTTTTCAAGAATTTCTGTTAGGTTGTATACCTTATACCCCCTTCAAATCACCCCCCCCCAATTGAAATTGATTCCTACAGACCTGTTGTATTTTTTTTTTTTTTGAAGTTGAAGCTCTGTGTGTAGATTACTTCCTGGCTTATTTCAAGAGGCTATTTAGTCTGAACTTGTGGATAGTAAATACACATTTTGAATGTGCCTGGGAGGGGAATTGTTCATGCTGGGAAAACTTTCAAATCAAAATTGTGAAATTGCTTAGCTTTTTATTTTCTTTATCTGTACATGTATAGAGATTTTCACAATTTTACACAGAATAAGCATTTTTGAATGTGCCTGGGAGGGGAATTGTTCATGCTGGGAAAACTTTCAAATTAAAATTGTGAAATTGCTTAGCTTTTTATTTTCTTTATCTGTACATGTATAGAGACTTTCACAGTTTTACACAGAATAAGCATTGTTGCCAAATATTTTCTTAAGAACAAATGAGAAAATAATAATTTAAGCATATGGTGCAATTCTTCAAAAAATATCTATGTGATACACCTAGCACTTTTATGTAAATGGGAATAAATTACATGTATTAAAATAGAAAAAGTATAATTTCACTTGTAGGTAATGTTTGCAAGGAGAAAAAAAAGAAAGGATTAGACACTTTTTTCTCGTTCTTTTTCTAGGCAAGAATACTGGTGATTTTCGTCCAAAGCCAAAATCAACCTAATACAGCACTACAACTTTATACAACAATTTTGTCAATTTATTTTATATCAGCATGTTGGAAGTATTTTCATTGTATATTTACATTTTTAAAATGTTTGTTGCTTTTTGGATTATTTCCACTTTAAAATGTTTTATATAAATACTTTTACTTAATTTCATATCTTCAAATTTATTTTTTAAAATATGTTGAAATGGACTATGAACATCGTGTATATAATATGTGCAGTTGACAGATCAACAAATGTTAACAATATAGAAGACTTATACACCGAACAACAAAGGAATCCTCCAAAACATTTCTGCCTGATAAGTTTACAGGATTTGTGATGCCCTTTTGGAATTTAATTTTCCTAACCTCAAAAATATTTTATTCTTTTACTACTTCAGCAACTGTTCTATAATAACTTTGTTACACTCAAAATTGTTAATAATGCTTTTTACAAAGGCTTTATTATAAGTATGCTCAGCATAGGAATGACGGCACATGGAAATGGACAAACTGCTAAACGTTTACTGTATTCACTCCTCCAGAGAAGAAGTAAAGGTCGCTGCATGCAACGTCTTAAACATGACTGGTTGTTTGCTTATTAAGGTGCAATATTGCTGCAAAATTCCACTCAGATCTGCACCAAAAAACATTTTTAAATGACCACTTCTTCATATAACCAGACATACATGTATTTGGAAAATGTACTTAACTTATAGAACCTGAAACCTTGTTGCAGACATAAATACATCGTCGCAAACCTTTCCCATTCTGGAGAGACCTATGTGCGACTCCGGACCGTGACTTGAGACGATGTCCTTAGCAAATTTAAATTCTTAGACTGCAAATGTAGAAAAATAAACTCCTTTCATAAGGAAACTGAATTTTTTTATCCCAAGGAGCGAAGGAAAGACACCAGTAACAGTAGACGCTAGGAGGACACCAATATTAAGTATGAATTACACTCCATATAACCCCTTTTGCAAAGCCAAGGATATTTTGGTATGATATAAAAAATAGTATAATCCTTTTAAAGAAAATTTTAAATCTCGAGCAAAAATTACAATTGTGGTTCTACAGATCCTAGCACCACATAATATCCTGTTCTTTTCTATTATTACTGGCAAAGATAAACGGGCTCTTTTTTTCATTAAGAAAAAAAACACTGCGACAGGTAGATGTATAAGGGAAATTATACCTAAGGTGTTTTCTATGTTAATAATATTAACCTTATTTTATTTCATAATCAAGTTGTTATCATGATCGCTAATGATCAAAGCAACACCTGTACAAGTAATAAATGTTCAAGTTTTATTATAATTCCCTCTCGTAGCACCACAAACATCATCACATGTGCACTGCAATAATAGTTAAAAAATTATTCCAACATGACTGGTTGTTTGCATTAATTAAGGTGCAATATTGCTGCAAAATTCCACTCGCATCTGCTCCAAAAACATTTTTGAATGACAACTTCTTCAATAACCTGTCATACATGTATTTGAAAAATGTACGCCACTTACAGAACCTGAAACCTTAATTATTGTAGACATAAGTACATCATGGCGAACCTTTCCCATTCTGGAGAGAGCTATGTGCGACTCCGGACCGTGGCTTGACACGATGTCCTTAGCAAATTAAGATTCTTAGACTCCAAATGTAAAACAAAATAAACTCCTTTCATAAGAAACTGGATTTTGTGAATAATATCAATTATGTGATTACACTAGCTAGAATACAGTGGACAGAGAGGTGTTAATTAATTGGAATTTAAATTCCCGGCTACGAAGCGAGTGTCTAAATTAGTTTTCTTAGCCAGACAGAGGGACAGACAGGACAAAAAAATTTACCCCCCCCCCCCCCCGATAGCATGAAAACATCAGATTGTGCAATAGATTCAATGTCTTGGACCAAGAACAAAGCTTACATACAACTGAATGCACATTTTTGTTGAGTTATAATGACATACTAGGAAAAGTTATAAAAAGCCTACATAAGGATATAATCAAGCTTGTCATTGCCATTTTTGTTAGGCAAAAATTGTTAGACTCTTTGATATGGATTTTATAAATTTTTGTTCCGGATTACAAGTGCTCTAGGACAACCATCAATTAATGCAAAAGCAAAACCGTACTTTTTTTTGTTTTGTTTTGTTTTTTTACATAAATTGGTAAAACTTTTAAAAAATTTCAGTTCAAACGAAATGCACCCTGAAACAACGAAATGTAAACAGTTGTAAATGCGCCCAAAATATATTTCATATACATGTATATAGCGTACTATATCCATTCTAGAACTGTGAATACTACATATAAACTGTATCAATGACAAGTATACCTACACCCAGTATATAATTAACCAAGTTACTATTATGTAACTAAGTATGATTAAGCAGAGATGTAGAGAATTATAGAAATGAACATATATTTTTTATGTCGTAAAAACTCTTCGTCTTGTTTTTCTTGTACACTTGTATTGTGGTCAAACACACACAGTATCTCGTGATTGTGACTAATTAGACTGTGGCCCAATCAAAGTATTGGCTAATTAGACTGTGGACCAATCAGAAGTACTCTGGTCCCATTCATCGTTATTTGCTTCACAGACCTTGCTGTAGACAGTCACTGAGAGTTAACGCGCACCTGGAAGTACACCAAAGTGTAAACTACGTACATTCGTGACGATCGCTTTCTGAGATACCAATAAGAAAATGTAATTTAGATAAGTCCTCAAAGAAACGAACAGCTTTTACACCCAAAGTACCTACATACCTACCATTAACGTTGTCGAAAGATAAAATATGTGATCAAAAATCAGTCCTGGTATTATGTTTTATCGTCATTTATTTATTTATTTAAACATTTTTTTTCCTAGTCAAATTCATAATCTATATAAAAAGAATTTTACCCTATTTTTGAGTACAAAGACCGGAATCTATACAGCACTTTCAAGAACTCACATGTAGGGTTACAGCTAGAGTCAAGGAAGAATTTAATTCCAGTTGTACATACGGCTGCCTAGCGTACAAGAACTTGACAATTTACATAAATAAAATTGTATTTTCTCTTTAAGATAATAAACTGTTTGTCTTTTATTTTAAACTATTTGTATGGACTATACAGTATACATATATAAAAGAACCCACCATATCTGCATGGAATGACAAACTGTATTGTACATGTATATGCATATGTTGTTTTGAACATATTTTATTGAAGGAATCAAAAGGATTGAAAACAAGTTCTTTACAACCTACTGGTTCCTCTCCTTGAATATAACAATTCTATGTCATGCAAGTGGAATAGTACATAGAAATATAAATGACAGGTGATACAAGTGAAAATTCTGTTCAATAACGTAACATTTTAACATCAGTAAATTTATGCGAAGCAGCAGTTTTGGGTATCGTATTTTGATGTTCTCACGCTTGTGTGGGACAATATCACTGCATTCAGTTCAGTGGCGGATCCAGGAATTTCGTAACGAGGGGGGGGGGGCTGCATTGAAGCCCCCAGTGGGTCTAGGGCAAAGCCCTTGTGGGGGTCAGGGGGGCGAAGCTGACAAATTCTTACAAATAAGAGATGTTTTTCCTTGAATTTAGGATAATGAACATATAAGTTCTACATACAAAATATTCAAACCGGGGGGGGGGGGGGGGCGCACGCCCGGCGCCGGCCCTGGATCCGCTTTTGCAGTTATACATGCATATGTTTTTCTGATATCCTGTAAGGCAAAGAATATATTTTTTAACTATTCATAAATGAAAACAGACTTTAGAGGCATTATTTAAAGTATACACGGACTATTCACTCTTCAGTTAGAACCCTCCTCTCCTCTAATATGTCCATTGGACAAATACTAACTGTATTTTAATTGAAAAGTCTGCATGAAGTAAAAACATCACCAAATTACTTAGTATGCTGCAGGAATGACGGTGTAGTAGTCCAAAGAGAAATATACAAAAAAGTATAAATACGGGAATAAATATATTTCTTCAAACTGGAATAAAGGGAGAATTAATACAATGGCCGCAGAAACCCGGGGGGGGGGGGGGGTGCACCCCCCCCTCATAATTTTGCCGATATATAGTATACTATAGAAAACAGAGTTACTTTATGGATGTGCCTCCTCGATAACACGCGTGATGACATTTTTTCCCCTTTTCTTTCTTTTTTCCTACTTGTCAAGGAATATTTTCTTGGTAGTGCTCCCCCCCCCCCCCAACTGAAAATGTTTGGTTGTGGGGCACAAACTGAAATTGCTTCCGACGGGCATGATGTTTAAAGAGTGAACGTGTAGAAATCAATGCCAGAAAGCTCCGAGAGATAAGAAAGACAGGGGTTCATGCAAAAACGGACTTCCAAAACACTCGCTAAAAGTGACATATATACCAAAGATGTGTGTTGTAGGACATTAGTGATACATGTACAGTGATACATTCTAACTGTTAGGCTTTTTGTAACTCTTCAAGAAGTAAGTTTTGTTTGGTTTAAATACTGTGAAGTGTGAACCAATATATAACTAAGACAATTTATTTATTCAATTATGTCATAAAACAAACTAAGACAATTTATTTATTATTTATAAAAGAAAATAGGAACAATTATATTTATAATTGTTAAGGCTAAAATGGAAATAAGACAGAGCAAATGGTTTTCTTTTTTTTTTTTTCAAAAAAGCTGTTTTTTTCCATATCTTAGTAAACATTATTATACATTGTACGTGAACATGGTACTTGTAGTCTTTTGCCGTAAGAGTGGGCTAAAATGTGCTTTTCTCGCTTTTTAGTATAAATTTATTTGAAAATCGAACAAAAGGCTACTTTGAAAAATATGAACATCAATGCCAATTTACCAAGCTGTTACAAAAACCTTACGGGGCCGTGTACCAAGGTGTCAAAAACATTACATAGGAAGTTGTTCTACAACAATCCGATAAGTAATTACATATACAGATGTCATGTAATTACACGGGGATTACAGTGATGTCAAAAAATCAGGGCATTTGTACAAGAAACTGAAATACATAATATCTTCATAGAATATCAATATTTTGATAAAATTCAATCGAACACGATTTATTAAGCATAGTTTCCCTTTAACTCCTTTTTTGTTTGTTTATTTGTTAAGGTTCATTGATATACTGATAAGAGAGGTAACTCTCACTGTGTTCTATGACTATTATCCCCTTATTTAAAAAGAAGTCAGGTTAACCGGTCATTTTTATCAAATTCTCCCCGCAATCTACGCTGAAATATTCAGTGCATTTTAATTATAAATAAGAATTCTTTTTTGGAAAAAGAACATAAGCGTTGAGTGACAAATTTTATATGAGCTGAGGGATGGTGGCCTTAAAGTTTTCTTTTCTTTTCTTCAAAATTTAATTATACAATCATTCAGATGTAGGTAATCGATCAATTCTCATCGAACATGGATGGTATTTATTTTTAATTTTTTAATTCACTTTTTGATTAATTATTTTGTCCTTACAATAAAAACAAATAAATAAATATTATCTATACAGTACAGTTTGCATTCAAAATTAGTTTAAACCATATTTTATTTGAAAATGACAAGCAGAAAACACAGGCAAGTAGTACAAAAAAATCAAAAAGGATTCGGAAACAAGTTTGAAAACTTATATACTAATCCGTTTCCTTATTATTATGATTAAGATGACAGACCCTTATTAGATAGTTACCAAACTTCAACATACAACATCTTTAAAATATCAATATTGATATTATAAAAATGAAAGCAACTTTTCATTGTTGACAAAATTACAAATGTTATATTGTTATTCATTAGAAGAATAAATTAGGGTTACACTTGGTCTTATACTCTGCCTTAACACGGTGTCAACCTTTACTGTAGGTGGAGGAAGTCGTGTTATCACAATCAGGGACATAATCATTACACAGATCTTATCTAGATTACCTATATATTACATATTCTACAGAGATGTCAATAATGCACAGGGATCTAGACAATTCTTAATTACAAGAAAATAATGACAGAACAAAATCGACCTGTTGGAATTTTAATAAGAAAATATAATTGAAAAGATTTGATGAATAATGAAAGAAACCATATAATTATATGTTTATTTAGATGAATTCATCACTTACTTGTCAAACTTTTATACAGCAAAAATAACAGTTGACCGAGATAAATAACAGTGAATCCATACAATATTAGTTTAAATTAATGAATGTATGGAAATAAGAGCCATTTTAAAAAATCTATTTCCAACTAAAACCTCTATATCATTTCAACTTGTAAAAGAAAAATAAATTGTAATATCTTAAAGGGGAAAGATGTTCATCCGAAAACATATCTTAAGGTTGGACCGGCTTTCAAAAAAAAAAATTGTCAAATATTTTTTTTTCATTTAAATGACTAAAACAACTTATAAGCTAACAAAAAAGCCCATATAAGACATACCATCCTTTTTTTTTTTACATACAATGTGTCTAGGAGTACATACCCTTCAAATTTAAACAGCCACTTTTTAGCACAGAAAGTTATGATCTCGTGTTTTATTAAAACACTAGATCTATAACTTATGAAAATTTGAATTATTCACTTGCTAAGAGAATCAATGATGCTTTTCAATGGAAAATGTAAATAAATTTATGTTAAATAATCACAATATACCATAATTTTGAATATTTCGGAAAATTCAAATTGTTAACATGCAATTTAAAAAAAAAATATAGAGAGAGTTAAATCTAAGGTTAACAAAAACGCATATTTTAACATGGTTGATTGCATAGATTTTGCATAACAGTCTCGTGATCATGTATACTCCCATTTTAGTGACTAAGTTATACAGTAATTCTTGCAAACTTCGAAAAAATTAAACTGAAAAAAAACTTAAAATTAAGAAAATATAGTACAAGACAATTTGTGTTAAAAAAAATACAGAAATTTTGGTCTTAAATGTAACAGACACTTATAGAAAACTGCGGATAAGATCTGACCCCTTCCTTTTCTATGTATTTTATTATTTGCTTAACGTCATTATATATTTTTCAGTCACTGAAAATGAAATCAGAGGAGACTATAGGTTGCTTTCCGTTGGTCTCTGTCTGCATAATTGAACGTTTTCACAATCATTTTTTCTATTACATGAATTTACAGAGACCGTACTTGCCATGTTTACATTTCGTTGCTTTCTCTAGTCTTTGAAGCCGACGGAGATTCAGTTCTTAGGAAACATGCCTTTCGTGATCGCCGCATTCAGGTATTGTTAATTTTTCTCTAATAATTAATGTGTCTTTGGATAATTCAATAGGTGAAGTGATTACGGAATTTCTTTTAAGATAAAAAAAAGTGATCTTTACAATATTTACAAAGTAAATTTTATGTACAAACACATTTTTGCTTTACAAGAACTGTCAGTACCTGTAATATTGTCCTTTGAAAAGATATATACCGTGTAAAAGAGTAATTTTGCGGTTTAAAAATTTTGCTTTTGATCCTTCGGAGGCAGTTGTTTTCAAAATTTCTGCTTTTTTAATTTTGCTCTTCAATTTGATTTGCAGTATACATGTATATCTGCCATTCTAATTGAAGCAACGTTCATCCCCGTAAAAACAAGAAAGGAAGAAAAAATTAGTTTAATTTTTTTTTATATCTTTTAATTATTTGTGTAGATGCGTGATACTGTGCAAAATTTAGTATTATCGATCCCGTAAATTACATTGATGGAAGAGTCATGAAACAGCTGACCTTTGACACTTAGATGCTAGCTTTAGAAAACCTGACCGAACTTAATACTTAAACTATGGTTACCGAAACAAGTGCCTGTGTTATTACTTCCAATAAACAACAGTTTTCATACGAAACAAAGAAAAAAATTCAATGGATTTTTAAAAATATGCCAGTAATGATAATTAATCATGAAAACTAGTGAAATATTCCTGAAAACACTTATTTCACCAAACAATGAGTTTAGCCTTGCTTCTTAATCATTATCATAATTCATTTTTGGTCCGAGAGAATGTTTTCAATCAAGTAATTAAGGCTTTCAGAATTTTAGAACTTGAATTGATATCGACCGTGTTTCAAAAAAAAACAAATTGGGATGGGAAATTTGAAATTTGTGACATGTGAAGTAAAATTAAAAAAAAAATCAAAATGAAAAAGAAATGTTTTGGTTATTTAAAATTTTAGTCTAAATTCAAACGCGTTTTTGAAAGTTTGAAGTAAATTTTAAATTATCAAAAGACAAAAATGGTCCTGAATTTAAGATTATTTATAAGCGTAAATTTTCTGAACAATAAAAAGATTAAAAATTTATAAGTTTAAAATCGATTTGGAAATTTTAAATTTTGAATATCAAAGGTAAAAATCTTTTTTTAAAAAGTGTGTTTTGAAAATTGGATTTTTGATCTAAAATATCAAATTTCAAAATTAATAGGAGTTTTTGAAACTAAGAAAGATTTAAACTAAAATATTAAAACTCTAAATATTTTAGAAATTTGAATTGTTACACGGATCATTTTCTTTTTATTGACCTACAATCCAGATTTCGTCTTTTTGAATTTTAAATCATATTTAACAATGCGAGTTAAATTACTTCAAAGGGTGCGTGCAAAGCTTGTCTTTCTGCTTTACCCTCTAAAATTCAAATTCACAAAATTACATATTATTTATGTCCATGAAACTTCGATATGGGTTAGTACAGACACAATACCCGGATATTATACATATCCATAAATCTTGTTATAACCAGTATTGCTGATTACGACATGAACGTGTTCTACACAGGTAACATATCGAGTAGAAGGGTAGCACTTCCCGGGGGCCGAGACAAATGACCTGTCACAGCCAACTACAAGGGGATACACAAATCTATTTGGACTATATACGAGATAATTAAGTCTAATTCTTAAAGAATTTTAAAATAATAATGTCTACAACATGTCCAAAGCTACAAAGGCTATATTAAAAAGAAAACCTCTTCGAACAATGCAATGTATTCACTTAGAAAGAGCAGTGTCCCATTCTTTAAGTACTTGTATTAATCTTAATCCAAAACCAAAGTAAAAACATATTCTTTCCAATTATAGACTAAAAACAATAGTACATGACATGGCTATATCATCAATCAATCAATTAACAGAAATGGAATCAAAGATAAAACTTCCTGGGGAAATATTCTTCCAATTATGAAATAAAAAAGGAACCGCTAGTTTATCATTGAAGTAAAAAAAGGTCCTACATGTTACGCCAATCATGTTTCCTGACTAATTAGCAATATACACACCGCCGTTTCGGCTAATCTTCTCTTGGTCTAGGATAACGTAATGGTATCTTACCTCAAAAGGTGCGACTGGTTGAAGACCCGACCCATGACGTCCCTAATTAGTGTTCATTATTAGTGGTCATTAATCATGGACGGATATTGCGGTAATCCGTTATATTCGGAAGTACTCTGAAGTTGTTTTTTTTTTTTGTTTTTTGAAAACCTTGTACAACAATTTGCATAAAATTAACCGGTCTCATTTTCAACAGCTTCGAGCTATATATTGCACACTTAACTGTCACTGGACTGTGAGTTTTCTGTCGTAAACTTCTGAAGAGAACATAGAAATTTGTTCCTTTTTTCACGCGATTCCTTAACATATGCCAATGCATCTTTTTCTGTATATACAAAGAGTTTTGAAGTAGCATCATATAGATTTTTCACAATTGATGAGATGTTTCATAATTTATGTATTACCGATTTCAAATGAAAGGGTTTTAAAAAATGACACACATTTCAAAAATTTCAATTAATATCATGAAAAAGTGAATAAAGCAATAATGAACAATTCACAATGATATATAACCCTTATATCTTTATATGCATGTCACAACTCAATAAGTAATTTTTTTTAATGAGCTGGACCTCAGACTGAACTTATATTCAAAAAATGTCATAAGGGTGAACTAACCAAAAATAAATAAATAATTTAAAATAAATTTATATATATTTAACATAACAATATTATGAAGGGTGTTTATAAAACAATTTTGAGTAGGATCTGTATTTTCTCATTGACAGGTGCGTGATGGATGACGGTCGCTTGTTGTAGGTGACAGAGGTTACGCCACAATGCCCCTGGCACCTACTGAATAACGACCCACGGGACTCGTTTCCTGGTCCTTCCCCCTATTACCTGTCTCCTATATCTACCCAGGTAACCATCCCGTGTCAGACAGAAGCAGCAGCACCACAGAAGGGTGAACATCACAAACATCACTTCACAAGGGACTATAAGGCTTTAATATTTAGGTTATATTCACCTTTTCGCAGTTGTATGTGAAGTGCCTTCAAAGTTTGGGACACTTGATTATTATCCAAAATGTGGAAATTTATTATCCTTTTAGGTGAGTATAGCAATATTTTATTATTGCATTATTTTTTTTTAATTTAGCTAAATATCGAAAAATATAGGATTTTTTTTTTTTAATTTTAAACGGATACTAATTCATATTGCTAAAACGAATGCTAGCAATAAGAGTAAGATGAAGGGAGGTGGCTATGTGAAATAAATACTTCAGAGGAAAAAAATACCCTGCTATAATATAATAAATGTATTGGTATTTGGTAAGTAATTTTAGGATATCTAAAAATTTTAACATTTATAAAGTAAGTTTTAGTTTAATGCTACAATTGCAAAGCACTTTCTATAAATTTTTCTGAATATATAATACACAACCTTTATTTAACATAAAGCGAATTCTTCGAAACAAATGATCATAGCTTATTTTGTGTACATAACATAAAGAGAATTCTCGGAAACAAAACGTCCCTGTCTTTCTCCGTCCATTAATGAGTAGCAATGATGATTGTAATTATCACCACTAACCGAGGCATGGCCTCAATGTGACGTTTTATGTCCGTTTTATTCCGGACATATTTGCCATATTAGATGTCGTTTTTCATTGACCGCATATTGATTGTTTTTGGACGATTTTATGTTATACCTGTCCATAGCAACCTACTATGTGCTGATATTAACAAACCCTTGATTGAAACTCTTATTATAAATAAGAGTTCACCGAACAATACCAAATGTTACATTTCTTACAAAAATGTTTAAACAGAAACTTTCAGACTTAAAAAAATGAGCTAATCATTTAAGAATATCTTTCCAATTGTTACAGGTATAACGATTGGCGGTGCCATAGCGCAAGGTCAACAAGGACAACAGGGGTCACAGTTCAATTCTCCATGTCTGCAGACTTTTGATCAAATGTTCCGGAAGTGCTTCATGGATAATGGAAACTTTAAATTGGAGGTCATCTTTTCATTGGTTACTAACGGTTCCAGTGGTCCCCTTCCGCAAGGCACAAGTAGACCCCAACTTATGCAAACAGTCTGCGGGTACGTCATAATGGTCACATGACTTAGGATCCATACTCTAAAACGAAGTTTACTTTTTGGTACAAACCAAATTTTTCAGAAATATAAGAGCAAAAGAATTTTGAAAATTTAGTGTTGAACTTGAAGCGTTATTTTTTGTCTGCTTTTAGTTAAGCTATCTTTTATTATATTGTCTAGGATTTTATCATAATACATTCTCATTTTCTTTTATTTAACCCTTTTCATATTATTCTATAGAAATAGAGAGAAAATTGACGCGTGCGTGAAACCAATTATGCAGAACATTCAAGTTCAGTGCAGTGACCGTGAAAAGATGATGATGGACTCCACCATCCAGTCCACTGGGAGAGCCATCGCCGTCATGTGTGGGGTCACACGTAAGTTTACCCGTACTCTCGTACATTATCGGATCCTCTGTATATGCCTGTTGATATTCTACAATTCAATATGGAGATAACGAACAGTACTAGTAATCAAGCTAAAAAATCCATTGAAACAATACAAATCAAACACGAACCTCTAAAAACATCAGAGGTGGGGTCAGGTACCATGGAGGGGTAAGCATACCCTGTCGACCGGTCACAACCGCCGTGTGCTCCTTGTCATGATCAGGCAAACGGGAAAATCCGTAGACAATTGAGTGTGTTCATAATGACCTAATAATTAGTATGAAGAACGTCAGTCAGCATTCAACTTAATGATAGATTATATTTGCTGACAAGGTCATTGTATCGACCATAGAACTTGCCAAATGTTGACTTTAAGCGAAACTGTTGATATCCTTGTTTCATCAACTTGTTTGTCAATAGTTTGCCTCGTTTTAGAAATTTACAACGTATTCTATTTCTTACAGCTGAAATGCCACCATGCTTGAAAAAGTTCGATGACAAATTCAAGTCCTGCATGACGCAGCAGAATGTCAATCAAGAGAACTACTTTAAACTTCTGGCCAATCAGACGGAAGGAACCGGGATGACATTTCCTCAGCTCAGAGACAGTACCTGCAAGTAGGTCCTACAAATCTAAATAATTCAACAATATTCCATGTCTAGTGCGCCTTAAACTTTGTCTAGAATATTGGTGTTGGTAAAATTTTAAAATATGTTTTTTATTTACATCTTTTAGCAAACCAACACAACAGGTTATTGTTGGGTGTGCATCAGGTGGTTTACAGTCATTGGCTAACGAATGTACAAAGCAAGAACAATTCATGGTCGGTCAAACTCTTCAAAACATGATGGCTTCCTACCAAGCAGTGTGCACTGGTCAACCACTCGTAGGACCAGGACGTGCTCCAAGTCCCTGTCTCATGAAGTTTGAAAAAGAGATGAATCAGTGTTCCATTGACAACATGGGTGCTCCTCTCAATGACATTATGATTCTGCTGACGAGAGGACAGGTGCCTGAAGGACAAGACATGAAAACTCTCAACAAAACAATTTGCGAGTAAGAGTTTGACAATTGTCTGATAAATTCATTGGATTATTAAATGTTAACCCGAATTTTTTAACATCCTTCTGTTTATTTACCTATTTCAGCAACTTCCACAATTTTGAGGAATGTGGAAAAAAGGTAGTAATTGAGAATCAATGTAAAGGAAAAGATCTTCTGATATCCGAGGGAACATTTGCGAATGTCATCATCACTGTCGGAGCCTATTGCCACGATACTACTGTTCCTGGAGCCTGTATGCTCACCCTACAGCAACAGTTCACTAAATGTTTCTCTAAGGTCGGCCTGGACCCCGCTGTGTACTTCTCCAATATCACAGCACACAAAGGAGCCATTCTGGGAACCAACGAAGCCTCAGCCACCAAATACTGCAGGTAAAATACCGCTATACCTCTCAAATCACCAAAAAAATATCTTAAGTCTTCATAATGAAATATATTCAGGTAAGTTTTGTTAGTTTTGTTATGACGAATAAGTCAATAGTAAATCGATGTTTTAACAGCAAAAGGACAGAACTGTACACTTGCATGAAGAAAGTGATGCACCAGTGTCCCGGGGCTGAACAGACAATGTCAATGACGGGATTTGATCTCGTGTCCATGGAGCGGGCTGTTGGTATTCTTTGTGACGACATCCCCGAGTACCTTGCCGGAATTAATTGTTTTGAGAAGCCCAGTGACAAGGCCCGAGTTTGTATCGCTAACATGGGACGAGATATCACTCAGATGTCCGCTAAACAAATGGCCAAAGGAATCACTCTTGACGGATTCTTGAACGACTTCTGCAAGTAAGTTTGTGAACAGTGCATTTACGATATTCACTTTTAATGCTGGAATAATTAGGAATGCTAAAGATTTATTTTATATTGCTAGAACCTAAGTCAAAACTGTTACAATTTTAGAATCCGTGTAGATCATGTGACTTGTGATTCGCAAGCTTGGCCAACCTGTGACCCCAAAGCCATTGCCCTGAAAACTAAGTTCGAGTGCCATTTGTTACCGGTTAGATGCCATGATGTCAATGAGGACGAAATCTCAAAAGTTTGTCCAGCAGATGGTAAGTGGATTAGTAACTAAATAAGTCCAAAACATGCACACACAAACACAAACCACACACATATACGCATGTATTATGGTTGCTGTTTTATATTGGTATATTAACCACGTCTTTCTTTTTTAAAAGCCCGTCTTAAGCCAAATACCTGCGTTGATGACGTCAAAATTAACATCGGAAACTGTCTGGCCCCATACAACATTGATCCAGAAACATTTATTGTCAACGTAACGCACGATCGCAGTAGTATGCTCGGAGGCCGATCGCAAGCACAGAGATTTTGCCAGTAAGTTTCGAGAGAACACATATAATTCGCATAGGGGCTCGGTTTCAGGATGGAGAATTTTGTGTATTGCATATTATTCTATGTCTGTCTAAATATTCTCAAAAATCACTGAAATTCGCAGTTTAAAAAAAGTTCGCAGTTTAAAAAAAAAGGTATTTCATATGACCATAAAAAGGGATCAAACTCGTCATATTGGATTCCGGGAGGGGGGTGCCTCGGTTCACTCTTGATTTTAATCAATATCTACATTTTTCCTACCGTCGTCCGGCGAAATCTAGCTTCAAAAACGATTAACTCCCTTCTATCGTCTGTCGATTTGCACCTGCAGTAACCTAAACGTCTTCGATACCTAAGCACTGAAATTGAAAGCAACGGAAGTGATGCTTTCTAACCATGTTAAGTGTAGAGGCACCCCAGAATTGCACGGAAAGTCTAGAGAGGTCAGAAACCGCGCCAAACTTGGTTCTCTCTAGACTTTCCTTGCAATTCCAGGGCGCCTTCCCTTTTCTTTTTTATGTAAATTGAATTACGATTTTTTTTTTAAACTGCAAATTTCAGCAATTTTCTATTTTTATTATAATCAGTATATTTAGACAGACATAGACCATCCCATAACCGAGCCCCAATGGTAATTCGAAAATATTTTTTCAAAGTCTATGCAAGTCTTCGGAATCGAGATATTTCTCTTAATGGAATTAAAATGTAATATTGTTAAACCTTTTATAGGTTTGAACCTTTCAGAAAGTTAAATAACGACACTAAGACAAAATGTATTTTTTAATAGGAACAGGAAGTCCGTTTTTAAATGCCTTCGGGACACCCTTGACGGTTGCCCTGGAGCTTCCGAACTGCTGGCCTACTGGGGTCACCAACAGGATCTGCTAGAGGACGCACTAGATCTACTGTGCCAAAATATGAATGGTAAGATCGATCCTCCTCCTTTGACAAAACGCATGTTAATCACACTGTACCATTATCTTTGACAGATTAAAGAAGAACTATTTTAAAAAAAACTCATTTACGTCTATATTCTAGGATACGAACAGCTTTCTACCTGCGCTATTGGTTCAACTGCTAAAATTGATCAGTGCAAGAAGAACGCCGAAATGAAAATGGGAGATTTAACAAGAATGAATCCAAACAACCAGATGTCGTCTGCATATTTCGCACAGTTTTGCAGGTACACATCCATATCACAATAACAAACACACATGCTGTGTTCCAGCAGATTAAGTTTTGGAAAATACACTTTTTAATGCAATAATGAATGATATCATGATTTGTTTTTTAGTGTTCGAATGGAACAACTGCAATGTGACCTTGATGCCGTCCGAGACACTTGTGACGCGGTCTCTGTTGGTCTGAAGACCGAGTTTGAGTGTAACCTTATCCAAGACAGGTGCCAAGGATTGAAACGATCAGCATTCAAGAAAATCTGTAATGTTAACAACTACGCACGCTCCAACCGCCGAGGAAATTCTGGTGGTTCACAACAGAATTCAGGAAATACAAATAACATAGCTAATACTAAAGGTGGACAACAGGGAAATAATAGTGCTAGTGGAGTTTTTAGTTTCTCAGCTGTTGTACTTACCATTGGACTTTCCCTACTTACATTCTTTTAAGTCAGATTTCAATTAAATACCATTCATTATACCATATTCAGCCATGATGAGACGTCAAGTCTCTGATTTTGCCTTTAATTTCTGGCTGTTACTGAATTAGGTATCAATGGATATAAGTCGGGGGTAAATACTAATTAATGAATAGCTTTCAAACAAAGCAGAAAAGCAAAATTAGAAGAAAAAAATTCTGATGACGTCATACAGACCGAGGAATTGTCTAAGGGAGGAAAAATGTCTCATATATTGTAAAAACGTACATTTTTATGCGTAAAATTGTGTTTACTTTGAAAATGTGATGATGCAAATCCTTTATAAGTAAAGCTACAAAAATGTAGAATGGACCAATGTCCCACCGAAGAAATTAATTTGTATTTTTATTGTGATATCCTGGGTTATGTCTCTGTGAGTCCACTTTCTGTGTTTGAATGTTTCTTGATGTGTGAGTGTATTTTGTAATTTATAAGTGTGCGAGTCTTGAATGTACAAGAATTTATTTATATGTTGTGAAAACAAAATGAGCGCTCATTTTGATATTGTTGATTTTATAATAAAACATACCTTTAAAATATGTTGCATATTTTTTTTTTCAAAGGTATACCAGGGACAAATTTTTGTTCCTATTCATTACAAAGACCGAGCAGTAAACATTTTCTTTCATGATTTGTTTTAAGTACCAGATGATTTGATTTTTTTATCTAGTAATTTATTTTTTTAAAAAATCAAAACTCACAAAGATGCAAAGCCTATTCTTTTTAAGATGGTCGCACTAGTTTGAAAAATAATTTGTTGTTTATATAATGTTTCCAAAAAAAAAAAAACCAAACAAACAAAAAACAAAAACAAAAAAAAGGAATACATGTAGTTGAATTTCAAGCAAAATACTAGTACATGTAGATTTCTTTTAACATAAAAGCCAACAGAATGCTTTGAATTGTTTTTCAGAAACAACACTAATCAAAAATGTTTTAAGATTTCATGATCATATGTCAGCAATATTTTATGATTTCATGATCATATGTTTGATTTGAAGAAGGAATATCATAATTTATAAGAATATCTAGCTATGACTTGTGGCCTCGTAGGTCAACATCCAATGAGAGAAAACGGTCAAATGACAAAAATGGAAAAAGTGAATGAAATGAAAGTTCGGGATTCGTTACAAGAAATCTGATTGGATTATATTATATCGAATCTCTGAGGATCAGGATGTAATTATGTAAATGATGATGTCACGGGGTAAAAGCTCATTCATCAAACTTGTCGCGTAAGAGCAGCGTAGGTAGGATTGGGCAGTTCGTAACAATCGAGGGAAACATGTCTCACCGTCGCCAATCATTCATAAATGAATACAAGTTACAAAGCATTATAGTTTCAGTGGCGGATCCAGGAATCTTGAAAAGGGGTGGGGTGTGGGGGCGACCAGTTTGGGGTCGGGGGTCGGGGCCCACGACCACACCAAAGAATGATTTATTAAGACTTATGTATATTTTGGACACAAAAGGAGGGGGCGGGCCCCCTGGCCCCCTCTAAATCCGCCAGTGAGCTTGGATTATTTTTTTTACCTATATTTCAGATCGTCATGTGTAATGATAATCAACAAATTTTCATCTGTTGATGTTTAAATATTTTTACCAGTCTGCATTGGTGACAAAATCATTGAAAAGCAAAGGAAAAGTCATTCAACAGTCCTTCACTACGAGCATTTTAGGTTACTTCATACTATACTCTGTCCCACATGAGCGCTTCAACCACATTGTAAACGATACCAAATAAATTTTACCTAGTTTTCGAAGAAAGTATCAATTAAAAGTTTCATAATTTCCAAACCAGTTTTAGCCATATTGGAAATATACATACAACATAAAACAAACACATATGACAAGATTTTTCTTAGGCCTATGCTTCATCATTATTATTGACTTGCTACGGAATAACTCGAGTAAAGATGTTCTCTTTTCCGAAGTAGCGGCCATTTCTGTAAGTGTTAATACGGATCTCGCTATTCGCAATGGCGTGAAGTCACGCCATTGCAAATAGCAATATCGGTGGAGGATTAATCCACGTCGACTTTGAATTTGCCGCTTTGTCAATATACTAGTTGAACACGACCTCCTATCAAGCCTAGTATTCCGACGGTCCGATAGTCCGACGGCCCAATAGTCCGACCGTCCGATAGTCCGACGGCCCAATAGTCCGAAGGCCCAATAGTCCGACATGTTAACCATCACCAAAATTTTTATTAGAGTTAAAATTATTCCTATCAGACTTTATTTCAAGGAAATTACTAGAAACCACCAAAATCGACACGGCCTGATTATAAATCAGACAATGAATTTCTGACAAAAGCCATTCAAGCGTGAACTGAAAATCATAGAAACCGGGTATATAATAATGAAAATGCACACTGCTAACTGATGAAGTACAGGCAAAATATGTAGTAAATGACCATTATCATAGCAGAGAAGTTGCTTCAATTGAAACCTTAATCAGTTTTTTACACGGACGGACAAATTTCATCTAGCTCTAAACCGGATTGCTTTAAAATCCGGCGAAAACATATAACAGTGTTATGGTTAAATCTCTCAGTACGTGTCCTACTCCCTGGCATGATAAAGTTCTTACCTCATTTTGAGAACTCTCTGAGTAGATCATGAATTCTGTAGTCTATGAAATTATTATCAAAATAAAGATGCATAAGATATTCTGGACGATGATGAAAGACTGGTACACGTGCTGTAAGTTTTAATTTGTATTAATAATCAATCAAACCAAAATGAATGTTACAATGAGCTGTCGTCCACAGAAAGTGAAATAAAAAAAACTTGTTCACATTTATAATGGTATGATTTGGCAAAAATAACATTCATTACACATTCATTCATAATACTTTCGATAATTATGTTTGTTGGGAAAAGAGAAGAGGGCGAAAAAGTGACCTAATTGTAAAAGAAGCTGTTACGATAAGGCGTGATATATGCGCTAATTTAAAAAAGATTATTTTTGATTACAAATAAAGTATATAATGCGGGTTAATATCCCTCCTAATTAAAATTGGTATAAAACTCAAAATATTACTTAAGTAACCGAATGAGATTATAACTTACAGTTCCATGCCATTAAATGGCGTCTCTGACGAAGAAAACGTTTACACTGGTTTATATCAAAGTTATTTTTAGGAAAAACAGCCTAGAAATAAAATGTTTATGCCATTCCTAGTAAATCTATATTGCTTAAATCATAGATATTAAAATAATGTCAGGTAATCCTGTCATTATTTGTATGTTTGTAAGACTTTTTCGGACCCTTTTTTCTGTTTAGGTGTAAGACATCATACTCCCCAGTATTGAATTACAACTCCCAACGTATTAGAATGTTATTCAAAAACAACTTTCCATTTCCTTAATTTCTTAGTTAAAATGAGAAACGAGAATCATAACCGAATTTCCCCTTATTATGTAATTTTTTTGCAATATATTTATCAGATACCAATGACTAACTAGAAATATATCCACAGGACATGAATGAGGTCAAGGTCAAATGAAGCGCTAAGGTCAGATATGTTGATGCAGTTCAATAGCTTACATCAGTATGTATCAGCATATGAAGTTTGTTAAAAATATCTTTGGTTTCTTTGAAATGAGCTAAAGGCAAAGCGAGACGGAAGGACAGACAGAAGGACCTAAGGCGGAATAATTGGGGGGGGGGGGAGGGGTAATGATAATAACGGATTACGGTCATTGAGAAATAAAAAGCTTGCACCTATGGAGAAGTCCATATTTACCGATTTTATTTCGATGTGTGGTAAACGTTCAGCATCCAGGTCGAAAGCATTAGTAGAGATTGATGCTCGACATGTCTTCCTCCAGCATCTCCAATGATAAATTATCCGCTTTTTCTTGTTCAACTGGTACCGATAACCTTCATTAACAAGAACTTTTCCCTTTTTTTCATACCATCCATTAAGTAAGCCATGATGGCAAAGTGTGATGTCACCTTACCGGAAATGAATTCAGAGTATCGACTTATGTCAAATTTTCAGAAATTTAACATCTCCTAGGATAAATCTCGGTAGAATTGTAATTTTGTCCTCTTTTGAATAAAATAATAATTAAAGACCCAAGTAAAAGTTTAACACTCAGTGGTGGGGTTGAAACAAAAAAAATGCAGATTTTCATTCCCCTGGACCGAAAAATCGAGCTCATATTTGTGTGGGTGGGTGGGTGTGGTGTGTGTGTGTCTGTCTTCTTCTGTCTGTTTGTTTGTCAACTTTAACCTTCACCATAACATTTGAGCCGTGAGTGATAGAGACTCCATATTTGGTATGCATAGTCCAATAATAAAGCTCATTAATTCAAATGACACCAAGTTCAATGACGTTGTGATCTTGACTGTGACCTTGATGCAAAAAAAAAAAATTAAATTAAATTAAAAAAAATAGCGTTTTGAACATGGCTGCCGCCGGGGGCTTGTTTCAACAGAATACGTTAAAGAAAATTATGCACTCAAAGGAAACTGATAATTTAATTTGCTTTCTAATTTCTATATCAATTATAATTGAATGTTTTATAACAGAAAAAAAAGATTTTTGTATTTGTTTTAATACCTTATATAAAGATAGAACTTTTCTGTAAATCACACAATTAAAATCAATCGCGTTTCAAAGATATTAAAAAAAAAATAAAAGAATAATCGATTTATTTACCGACCCCTGGCCCACATTTAGATAACAAAGTTTAAAGTCAATTTAACTATAGAAATCTGCGCTTATTCAATTTAAAATCGGTGAAATGTTTAATTTGAACGTAAATAACATATATCATGTATATCTACACTTAAACTCGTATTATTATTTTTTAGCTAAGACACGCCATATATAGCTTTAAGAATCACTAATACTGAAATCTTTTCTGCCATACAACCAGGGATGTAGCATCGTTTTTGAAAGGGGTAACCAGAAATAACAAATTCAACTTATCTGAAAAAACTTGACAAGAAAAAAAAAAGGAAAATTGTCCAAACGTCGAAAATCCTCTTTCGTGTTGGGGATGGGGGGGGGGGGTTCCAACGACTTTCTCTACCAAATTATATATATATATATATATATATATAGAGAGAGAGAGAGAGAGAGAGAGAGAGAACCTCGTCGGATAGAAATCGACCTTATCGTATGCAACGTCATAATGAGAACGAAACGAATAAAGTTAAGAAAGATTTCCCAGTATTTTTTCTACACATGGTTTTCATCTTATGGAATGTTTTAGACATTATCAAATGGAATTCATAAACTTTGGGGGGGGGGGGGGGTTCGGGTTATTTTGAATATTTACTAATGAAATACATGTAAACTAATTTTTAATTTATTTCCCTTTGTAGAGCCTTTAACCTTTTTATTGTTACCATGGATTAATGTAAACACAGGCAAAATGATTGCCCTCGGTTCCTCGGCCATGTAATGAAATTATTTGCAATTTAATTTCGATGACATCACTGAACATCATTACATGTAGATGTAGGTTGAACCCGATCAAATTTTCCGTGCAAAGTCGCTCTTGACAGTAAAAAAATGCC